CTACAGATGGAATTGATTGAGCTCTCAGTAGATGACATTTTAAAGTCATTGTTTGATGCCAAGCAAGATCCAATTGAAATATAGAAAAATGCAGTAGAATATCCACATCTTTGTCAGCAAGCCCAAAAAATGCTTTCTTGCTTTTCAACCACTTATTGCTGCGAATCTACATTCTCCTGCCTAACTCAAATCAAGATGCCCTTAAGGTCACACATGTCTGACACCCATCTAGAACATCAACTGAAACTGCAGACTTCCGTGCTGCAACCAAATATTCAAATGCTTTCCAACAAAAAGCAGACACAACGAAGTCATTAAAAGGTTAACTTTAAAATTAACACATAGTTTTCATCTTTTGAAATTATTAAGTACGTAGTAGTTAAACTTTTACAAAGTAATGTACATTTTTAAGTATATCTAATTGAAGTTTCTGGAATGCTGCCTTATTTGATTACAACTAAATCAATGTGGGCTTCCAATATGAAAAGGTTTCCCACCTCTGGGCTAGACTCTTTAAGGAAGTCCTGTGGAAATTCTGCAATGAAAAGACTGTTTCCAGGTGGAAGCCCCACCCACGCGGGAGGAGCCGAGCGATTTAATTCTCGCCTCACCTGCAGGTGAGGAGAAGCTCTTCCCTTCCCCACTTTAAGCCTTATCAGTGGGTGGAGCTGCCCTCAGTCTCGCGCACAAGGAAAGCGGAAGGGAACCCCGCCTCCTGCTGGGGGACGGGGTCGGTGCACTGGGCGTGAGTTGATTGGCTGGGGGCGGGGCGCCACGGGTTGGCTCCGCCCAGGCGCTCGCAGGAATCCCGGGTGGAAGGACGGGAGGGAGTCCCAGCCGCTCCTACCTCCCAGCGATGGCGCCGCGGTGCCGCGCCCAGTCCCCCGCCTGCCGGCCGGTTCTCACCGCTATCCGGTCGCTCAGACGGTGAGAATTGGGGCGGGTCTGAGGAGCGGCGGGACGCTACCTGTGTCGGGGACCATGAGGTGCGTCCAGACCCGTGGGGCGGTTAGCAGAAGCAGCCGCAGCACCTGCTGAGAGGAAAGAGGGAGCGGCCCGGCGCGGCGGCGCGGCTGGGGCACGGCAGAGGCTCGCCCGCGCCTCGGCCATGTCACTGCTCTGCGTGCGCGGTAAGTGCGCGGACTGCGGTGGGGATACAGGGTGTTGCGGAGGGGTCCCCGCACGTTTCCGGTGGACGTTCGGTTACCACCTCTCCCAAACTTCACTTCCCGTTCGTGCTTTGGGCAACCATTATGTTAACTATCATTTATAAACATTTGAAGAGTTCTTTCCACTCTTTGTTCTCCCCACGCTCCTACAAGGGACTGTTACCTCTCCATTCCGGTAACCACGTGAAAGTGTTGTTGGCTGGCAGGCCTGGATCCTATTAAACTGTGACTGGGATTCTCCTCTAGTAAGAGTGGACGAGCTAGGAAACCGCGGATGGTTGGTCGTTGTCAATGGTGGGCAGCCTCCCATTCTTTTCTTCCTTCTCCTTTCGGCGTAACACTGTAGTCTGCTTAGTAGCATGTTCTTTTTATCACTCTTTGAACGCGTTAGTAGTACAGCTGTCACATCCCTTCTTCCAATGTATTTCTTGGCTTTCACCTCTCTACTGCTTGTCTTGTCCCCGGCTTCTTCCCTGAACCCTAGCCTGTAGTCCAGGGTAAGATTATTCTCCTACTCCGCTTGGAAGGATATGTTGACTTCTCTCCTTTAGGAGCAGAGCGTAAGAGGTATGATTTATTTTAGCTTCCATCACAGTAACTCAAGGCGAAGGGCCTTTATTGCTTTTTCGCTGAGGACACTTGACCCATCTAAGAAGCTATCTTACAGCAAGAGCTTTGGGGTTTAAGATGAGGCAGGGTGCACGGACTAAGCTCTGTGTGGGTAGAGACTGTTTCTTAATTGGTTTTTGTATTCCCAGTGCCTGACATTGTGGAAACTCAATGCTGGTTTTGAATGAATGCGAGGACTGTGATTTTAGAGAGATTATCTGATCAGAAAAAGCAGGATTTGGATTATCCATCGAATTTGATCTTGGAAAATTCAAGTTACAGCCTATCATATCTGTCGAATGAGATGGGATATGGGGGCTTGATGTGAGTGAGAGAGCATTTATCAGAGCCTTCACCAGGGCTTTTTCCTGGATAGAGTTCACATTTCTTTTGGCTCTACAGATTAGAAGCATTGTTTGTGATTTCTTTGATAACAGTGTTTCCCCCCAGCTGTCGGCAAACCGAACTGCTTTGCTCTGTCCTCTTCCACTGTTTTTTAAATCTGCATTAACCCAAAATGGATTTGGCTGTTTCCGGGGATTATGAGACAGTTTTTCTTCTTTCATGGTTGATTTTTCATTAATGAGAATTTTGCTTTGCTTTTAGTAAGACATTGTCTCTCAGCAGCTGGGAATCTATTTATTCCTTTGGATCCCTGCTGCTGAGTAGCAGGATTTGGGAGAGGCTGGGCTTTGCTATGTCTCTTGGACAGTTTAATTCTCTACTGCCACACCATGTTATAGAGCCAGTCCTTCAGAAAGACTCATTAGGCAGAAGCACTCTTAATTCAGAAATTCCTATTTAAGTGAATTTAAATAACTTAGCTACTGCTGTTTTCATTTGTTCTAATAGCAGGCAGCTTTCATTGTCTAGAAATTCTGCTATTGAGCAACCTCTTTTCCTTTTAATGTTACATTAGTCAAGTTTCTCTTCTTTTGAACCTAGGAGAGAATGGAGCTCTTTGTCTTTTGAGTAGAGATCCTGAAGATTTTAATGACTGAAACAAGGAGTTACTATTTTTTTTTTTTTTTGGGGGGGGGACAGGGCCTAGCTCTGTAGCCTTGGTTAGAGTTCAGTAGCCTCGTCCTAGCTCATTGCAATCTCAAACTCCTGGGCTCAAGCGATCCTCCTGACTCAGCATCCAGGGTGGCTAGGACTATGCCCGGCTAAGTTTTCTGTTTTTTGTAGAGATGGGGTCTTGCTCAGGCTGGTCTCAAATTCCTGAGCTCAAGCAATCCTCCCGCTTCAGCCTCCCAGAGTGCTAGGATTAACAGGCATGAGCCACTGCGCCCAGCCTGGGTGCTATATTCTTACGTGTCCTTATAAAGATATTTTGCCCTAATGCTAGCTTTGTTTATTCCTGCCTCTGCTCTGTTGTGCACTTGTGCCCCACAAAATACTCCTTCTATATTTTCTGTGCCTACTTTTTATGCTGAAAATTTCCTCAGCTCTTCAGTCTGCAGTGATCTTTCTCTTTAACCTGGTGGAGCACTTGTGGTCTGTACAGTGCCACTAGTTTGGCAATGAATCATATACTGCCTGCAACTGGTTTTGTATTGTTATGCTTATGGTAACCCAGACAAATGAGACGATAGCACTGGTCAGATCTGGAATTCTGTGTTCACCTATGGTATTTCCTTCTAAGAGGCATAATGATTATCTTAAGAGGAGATTTATTTTTTTATTTTTTTTATTTCAGCATAATACGGGGGTACGAAGGTTTAGGTTACGTATATTGCCTTTGCTCCACCTGAGTCAGAGCTTCAAGAGTGTCCATCCCCCAGACAGTGTGCACTGCACCCATTAGGTGTGTATATACTCATCCCCGTCTCCCCATTCCCATCTGCCCGACACCTGATGAATGTTATTACTATATGTGCACTTAAGTGTTGATCAGTTAATACCAATTTGATGGTGAGCACATATGGTGCTTGTATTTCCATTCTTGTGATACTTCACTTAGTGAAATGGGCTCCAGCTCTATCCAGGGTAATTCAAGAAGTGCTAGATCACCATTGTTTTTTGTGGCTGATTAAGAGGAGATTGATTAGAATAATAAAGGGTGTAGAAACCATTTGAAGAACATGAGACGTTCTGAGAAGATTTAAGAGGGAGAGGATCATAATAGTAGATGAAATTTGTTTAAAAAAAGGAAGATAGATCTTGTCACTCCAGAGGGCAGAACTGGGACAAGTAGATCAAAGGTTGAAAATTACAGGAAATTGGATTTTAGCTTAACATAAAGAACTTTAACAATTAACATTGTTCTTAACAAATGGAATGGACTACTATAAGTGGAAATTGAATGAGTGGTAAGGATGTTCTAAAAGGGACCATTTTATAGAATTCACTTAGTTTTTCTTTAAATAGTTCCTTAAATCTTTAACATGTTTTAGCACAGCTCTATTCATAATACTGATACACTTTTGTTTCCATAGGAGCCAGTGCCACCTGAGCAACTCCGGGAAACTAAATCAAGGATTTTCTTTAACTTTCATTGTCTTGGTGTTCATGACAAGTTTCTCCACACAGAAGCATTTTAAGCATTTTATGGGCCTTTCCATAATATTTCATTGTAATTCCCACAGTGTTTATGACAGTTCTTAGTTCAATAATTGAACTATGGATTTTCCCCCCTAATTTGAACCAGAAGTGGCCACCCTTTACTTGTTAAAAAAAATTAGTTTTGCGGATTTAAAAAGTAATATATACTAATATATTGTTAATTGTAGAAAACTGAGAAAATGCATAAAAGTATAAAAAATAAAATAAAAATTGTCATGGTCCTATCACCTGGCAATACTGTTGTTAACTTTTTTATTCATTGCTTTTGTTTTGTTTTTATTATAAGGTGATATATGTATGCATGATAAATTTGAACAGTTTACAGTATGAAGTGGAAGGAAAAAGTTCTCCTGTCCCCATTCCCTAGTCTCACTTCCCAGAGGTAACTACTGTTTCCTGTTTCTTGCATATTCTTCTAGAAATTTTCATTACATATGAGTATATAGGTTATACGATTGAATGTACACAGGATTCTTCAGCTTTTTTTTACTTAATGATATATATTTCCTATCAGCTCATATGACTCTATATCATTCTTTTTAATGGCTGCAAAGTATTCTATTATATAATTTAAACACTTTCATATTGATGGATATTTTTCTTTTCACTATTACAAACAATGCTACAATGAACATCTTTGTAGATGATTTTTGTCATATGTTTGGAGATCAACAATCACCTCTCCACTTGGACTTTCTATGTGACTTGTTTATTGCAGTTTTCTTTGGCATAATAACTATACTCAGCTGAACCAAATGCCTTAATGTCTCTCATATCAGCATCCTTTATTAGAGGCAAGTCCTTCACCAGCAGGTAATATAGCATGCCTATCAAAAGACCAAAGACTCTGCTCCTGTTTGGCCTGATTTCCATATAATTTTAAATATTTTCTTTGTATTATTTAAAAATTATTTTCCCATATGAACACGTAGTACCTCCGATTTAAAAATAGAACAAAAACAACGTCACTGGTGATGGTAACTGGACAAAGTTGATATATGTTGTGATTGACCTTAAAAAAGCTTAGCAGTACTTATCATTAGTGATTCATTCAATTAATTGAAAGGGTACTGCTGGGAAACTCTTAGAAGGTGAACTCTGATGGCTCAAGTATTTATAGGACACTGAGGACACATATTTATTGTGGGTCGATTCTACTCCAGAGAAACCCCAAAGATATATTTGGGTTTATGGCCACTGTGGAAAGAGGAATGGTAATGATTTTAGATCCAAAGGATAGGTTGGTCAAGTACTTCTCATTTTTCCCCCCAACAGTATTATCATCTGCCTCAGCTAGCTCTTGCTGCTGGGTTTGTATCACATCATGGTTCTTTTTAATCTAGTAGTCCCTGCCCTAAGAGCAGAGTTGCTGCTGGATTCCTTTTGCTTAACTATGGCATCAGGAAGTTGATTGTGCCTTGTCTGAGCCAGGCAGCAGCAGTGAGCGGGGTGGGGGTGGGGGACCAGTTTCCTCTGCCATGGCTATTTTCACAAATTATTGTTCTCTGCCTTATAAGCAGTACATTCTGTAACTTCATTTCTAAAAATAGGATTTCTGGAAGTTGTGCTCTTTAGGCCAATAAGCTTAGTTTTTAATCTTATTTACTTGTACTATATATTTCAGACTTTGCTGTATGGGTTTAAAGTTTGGGCTGTGTATCATTAGTAAATATTTGTCGAATACCTTCTCTGGGCATGTTTATGATACAGATCTATATTGTAGATAAGAGGCCATGAATCTAGATAGGTTTTAAAATGTCTCTTATAATCGTGTTCTCATATAAACC